TATATTATTAGACACAAATTTAGCTGCTATAAGATACTTGATATTAAAAAGAATGTTTACGTAATTCAACCCCTAACTATGTAGTACATATTAAGCTATGTGTCCAAGGTGGCCCCTTGGTGTGACCCTCTTTACATAAAGTATCACGCAAATATTTCGACGTTTCCCACTCAAAATCTTCACCTTCGATAGCGACCACGAAAAAAAAGCGCATCCTTCTTCGGAATTCTATAAACTGTTATTTTTTCCAAAGATTACAAATTTAAAGTAAAGGCAGCGCCGTGCTTCCCTAGCAATCTTGCCATAGATATTTACAAGAAGTGCGTCTCATAAAAGCTAAGCGTCGAAGAGGAACATCAGTGTGCCCAACACTGATGCTCGTCGACGGTGAGAATATATATATAATGGATGGATGGATGGATGGCAGGCAGGCAGGCGTCTAAAATAACTTAGAGCGGTGGAATCGGACCCATTTCAGTTACCTGAAATTTCAATATGTGATTGTAAAGTGTTGTGACACGATTTTGTGTGACGCTGGGATTATCAGTCCTTTTGTTTATTAGCCATAGTCATATAAACAGTTGCTGACGAAGCAGCACGGTGAAAAACGCGATCCTTCTTCATAGCCGATAATGTTATGCCAGAATGTCCAGATTACGATGTGCTGATAGGAACAGATTTTGTACAAATAGCAATTCGTCTCGATAAAGAAGCGTCTACACGGTGAAAATTTTACATCCCATACTTTGATCATGTATCCAGCTACCAATTTATCCAGCTAAGTAACATTAATCTCGCTGGTGATGAAGTGTTTTCTCATCAGTGTATCATCACACCAACGCTCTAAGGGTTTACGAAGGCCACCGTTCAACTTCGAGAAACGGTGGGCTCCGAACTCGGAATACGTATTCCACATGCTCTGTAACCGTTAATAAATCTGTTAACTTTTCGGCTTTTAAAATGCCGCTGATGCTGTGTTTTACACATTTAACTGATTAAAACCGAACGATAGTACGCAAAAAACGGAGCTTGATTTGTTCACGTAGTACCCTTGCTTACGTGAGTACGTCCAAGTCTGAGACTCAGAAGAAGATTTACGATAGCCGAAATGGTCATAGCTTTTCCTGACCTCGAATGATCTGGCAATATGCTTGAATGTGTCTCTGTCAGACAATATCTATCCTTCTGCCTCTCTATTTGTCTCCGAGTGTGTACCATTAACGAGCACGTTCTCCTTTTGGAACTAACTAACGAACGCTGCTATGACCTGCTATATTGCTGCCTTTTTGGAACAACTAACCAACCGACAGAGGCCGATGCTGACTGGAGAAGTTCAGGGGAAACAGTATTTTTTTTCCTCACCCAATGCTTAACTTCACCCTGATATAACGTCTAGCCCAATTAATATTATTGCATTACATAGGGGAATCTCCCTCTAGACAAGTCGCCCTCTACCCCCGTAGCCTGTGCATATTTATGGTGTATCCTCTCGATTTTGTGAATAGTTTTTTTTGTCGATTTCTCCGTTTGCGGAATGAGCTACTTTCTACCACTAGAAATTGTTGCGAACTATATCACTGATTTCCTTGTGTACAACTTCACGAAGCGTTCATCGCTTATGAACGGCATTGCCCTTTTACCTACCTACAATTCGGGTTCTATTAATATGACTCACAAATGTGGGTCGTGGCCACTTCACGCTTTTGATTCCAGTCTTTTCGCCTTGTTTCTTTATTTTTACAAAAAAAAAAAAATCAATTAAGCTACACTTATTTGTTCTCTAACGTATAGTATTTTTAACTTGGTTGTTGGGCATACTAACCTATAGCTAACATGGTGCTGTGTGTGCGCGTTTGCCTAATCTATAATTGTTTCTAATAGGATATGCTGATTTTTACGGCCCATTCCTTCGTTGCTGTCATTCTGTCGATGATTTTGGGATTACGGTTCATTGTATTCCTTCCCACTCTGCTTGCACTACTAGAAATAAGCGTTATACGCTAGAAATAAGCGTTATACTAGAAATAAGCGGAATACGTACGATATTCCCGTACACGTATTATGATTCAAAAGTGAGTAAACGTAGACCGTGGGAAGAGATGTTGACGATTTCAATATCAGCACATGTGATCGCTTCGTATAGGAACCTACTGGTCCCATAGAGATACATATATATACGTACATACATACATACATACGTACACGTACATATGTATGACGCCAGGAAGAGCATAAGGTAACGTTTAGTATAAGCGGTACAGCGGCTTTACTTGTCTGTAGGTTAGCAAATGCTTTCGGAACAAATGAAGTATCGTACCTGAACGATCTGCAATTTTTAAGAGGCTTTATGTAAATGAATTCAGACTTTTTTTTTCTTTTTATTATCATATACACCAGTGGGTTGCCTATATATGATATGCTCGTTTTAATCGTATGAATTTATGATCTCTATTCTTTCGTGCAGATCCTTGACCGGCAGAACGGAGGCCATCTGTTTATTTTTCTATATATACACCTCTATACGTAGCTTATCTACACTTGGTTTTTTCGCTCCCTTTTTTTTGTATCTGTAAGCAGCTACGCTTTTTCGGAGTGCGTGTACGCTATTACCCGTAATGGATGTATCTGTCCCTGTATATTTATCGATGATCCGTCTTTTTGACTTCTTTATTCCGCTGCATTAAAAGGCACAGTTGCAAGCGCTCTTGTAAATAGAAGCCAAAACAACGGTAGTTAATTGTACTGCTTCTGTGATTGATCGTCACAAATTCTAGGCGGCCAGCGGGGGCGTTTGGCTGACTGGTAGCAGGTTAACT